TAGCCGGTGTCCATTGGTGGTAGCTGCTATGGTGCTCGGACAGGGGTTGGGAAGGAAGAGGCAGGCCCGCTCCCACCTGACTTTTGACCCAGGAGGACTGAGTTAGGATGACAGTTCCCCTCTGGCAGGGTTCTAGGCTTATCTAGCTCAGGCTGAGGCTAGCCTCACTGTTTCCATAGAAAAACACCCCAACAGAGGCACAAAATTCTGGGGTGTGGGGGTTCTGAGAGGAAGGAAAGATTATGTGTATGCAACCCTAAAGTCCTCAGGGCAGCCCTTCAGGGCAAACTTTTCCAATTTTATCCCATCAGAACAACTCAGTCCCTATTCCACATCCTCGGGAAGTCCACACCCTCCTCTGTTCCTACTGGGCTCTCCCTCCCATAGTTCACACCCTTGGGATCACCTCTCAACCTGAATTCTGTGGCTGCCATCGTCTCTCCACTCCACAGGTATCATTACTCTTCTGCCTTTGTTCCGTAAACACCACCAATGAAGGTTATGTCGAGGACACCCCGGGGGTGGGGGATGGTTCTGGGGCAACTGAGCTTTCACAGAGTAGTCAGTAAACATCAGGCTGGGCATGAGGCATCCTTGTGCTAAAACTTCCCGCCGCTAGTCCTACTGGAATTTCTCACTCATGAGGCTTTCTTCTCCTCAGGTTGCCATCTTTCACTTACCAGCCCTCCTCCTTTTTCTCTGGAGTCACCGCAGTATACTCCCAAATTCCTACCAATTTTGTACTCAGCAAATTTAGCCCTCTCACTCCTTACCAAGGCCATGCCCAAAGACTCACCATGTTTTTCATAATCACAAAAGAGTACAAGTCCTCTGGAAGGAATGTAAAATAGCCTCTCTCTTTTTAAATTAGGCTTTTGACGTATAGTTGGGGGATAAGAAAAGCTAGAGTCAGGGCTTGAACCACAAAGAAAGTTCCAGAAGACTGAGAGATTGGAGAGTCCTGTGCCTGGGGAAGCAAAGGGACCAAAGTCCTGTGGCAGAAAGGGGATTGGGTTTGGGGATAGTGAAAGGAGCAGGTTGGGGAAGAGATTCCAGGAAGGGGAAGCAGAAAGGTATAAGGGCCTTGTGTTCCAGCATCCAGAGATGAGTCTTGGTCCAAAGAATCCTATGGAGCCATGAAAGAATGTTAAGCAGGGAAAGAATAAAAGCAAATTTGAGCTTCAGAAAAAGCACCAAGCGAGATTGAGCTGTTCGTCAACTATCAGAATAGCAAACTTAAAACAACATTGACAAAGGTGGGGGGCAAATATGGCGCTCTGACACCCTGTCAGAACCATCCAACAAGTAGAACGACCCTTCTGGAGAGGAGTTTGGCAACGCTGGGGAAGTAAGTGTTGGGGAGTGGAGAATGCGGGGGCCTAGAGTTACCTATCCCCGACTGTCTGACTGGTGTTGGAAATCTGGGGAAATGGGGAGACAGGCATGGGCTCAGGAGAGTGACTTCTCTTCCCAACTCATTGTTCAGCAACATCATCTTAGCAGCGTGAAAGAGGCTGTAGTGGTGTATTTGCACCAAAAACCTACAAATGCTACAAAACAGGGCTCCCTCCTGCCCCCAGAGAGTAGTTTAACAGTAGACTTAGTGCCTGAGCCAAGTCTCATCCAGCAACCCCTTACATTCTCCGAGCAACGACTGCACAGAGATCAAATACAGTTTTCTCTAAGCTGGGGCCTTGGCGTTATAGCCCAACAGAAAAGCCTAGGCCTGCTGATCTGAGCTGACCTTGAGGAATCTATTGGACTCCCTGACCAAAGAATGGGCATACCTAAGTGGTCTCTTTTCCCCTAGATCTCTTCTAACACCCCCCTTGATATTCTAAAGAAGCAAAGAATTAGGGAAGGCACCTCTTCCCCGCTGTGTGGAAACAGAGAAAAATGGGAAAGTGACAGGGACAGGTACCTGCACCTCCTTTTACTCAGGCATGCAGAGCCCCCATCTCAACTCTGGACAGACAAAGCCCCTTGACTTGTGGGTTCTGCATCCTTCGCACTATTACACTATCTCCCTGTAGAAGTCACAGACTTGGTAAGCCTTGGGTGCAGGAGTGGAGGGAGAATGATTTGAGGATAACTTTCAGCTTCCAGGCCTAGATGCCAAGGAACCTAGGGTGAGATGCAGAAAACCCTGGAAGAGAAAAATCGGGAAGGGTGTATGGGAGTCAGTGATAGTTGCACTTGGGACTTGGTGCATTTAGGTGAAGTGTCTATGGAACAACAAATAGAGATCCAACAAGTAGCTGAGAATCTGAAGTTCAAGAGTGGTACAGTCTTGGGAGTTACTGGTCTATAGATGGAACTGAAACCATGAGATCTCTCGGGGGTGGGGGGTGATAAGGGGCAAAGCAAGGACACCTGGGGAACAACAACATTTGAGAGAAAGAGTAAAGAAAGAAAGAAACTGGGAGGGAATGTTCCAGGGGGTAGGAGGAAACCAGGAGAATGTGATACTTTGTAGAAGCCAAGGAAGGAGGAGAATATCAAATGTTGCAGAAAGGTTGAGCATGATAAGGATTGAGATGAGAAACACAATGAGGTTATTGTGGCTGGTTGAGAGTGAAGACAGCAGTAGGAGACGAGATTTAAGTAAGCAGGGGCAACATCACGCAGAACCTTGTATCCCCAGGCAGGACCTTGTATGCCTTGAGAAGGTATTTGGCTGTTATTCTAAATGCAGTAGGAAACAATTAGCAGGTTTTGAGCAGGGGAGGAAGAAGTTGGATTTGCATTTTATACAGCTCCCTCTGTCCTGCAGAGGACAGGAGGGCGGGCTGCCGGGGTGGGTGGGGAGAGGGAAAGCAGCTAGGAAGCTGTGGCAGTAGTCCAGACTTGGACTAGGATGAGGGGAGGTGGTAAAAATTGCTCACATTCAGGGTACATTTTAAAAGAATATCAAATAGGACTTCCTAGTGAGTTGAATGTAGGGTAAGGGAAAGATAGGAATCAAGGAGGACTGAGGTTTCGGGTTTGATCAGTTGAGTAAATGGTGGTGCCATTTACAGAGGAAGGTAAGACTAGAGGGAAAAAATCACAGGTTTCGGGGTGGAAACCAGAACCAAGAGTTTGACTTTGGGGCACCTGAGTGGCTCAGTGGGTTAAGCCTCTGCCTTCGGCTCAGGTCATGATCTCAGGGTCCCGCATCGGGCTCTCTGCTCAGTGAGGGAGCCTGCTTCCCCCTCTCTCTCTGCCTGCCTCTCTGCCTACTTGTGATCTCTCTGTTCAATAAATAAATAAAATCTTTTAAAAAAAGAGAGAGAGAGTTTGACTTTGGCCATCTTAAGTATAAGTTGCCCATTAGATGTGCCTGTGGAGATGCCAAGCTGGTGGGTGGTGATCCCAGTGTGGACCCCAGGACAAGCCACAGCTAGAGATACTAATTTTGAAGTCATCTGCATAGACAGAGCATCAAAGCATTGGGAGTGTGTGAACATTAATGTATTTCCCCCTCACTTGACCTGGAGGTTGCGTGGCCCTTGATAGGCGGCTGGGGGAGGGCTCCAAAGTCATCCCCATTGGACAGAGGAAGCTGGTCCCTATAACCCAAGAGCTGGACAGGAATCAGGACGAGCCTGGCCTCAGGCTCTTCTTGCAGAGAAATAGAGCCAGAGAAACTAAGACGTCCCAAGAAGGTTGAAGCATTTCCATTTACTCCCTGCCCACCCAGCTCCCCCAAATCTCTCTGTAAGTAACATTAATTCAGGAGGAGGAGAAAAGGTTGACATGGAGGCCACTTAGCCTGTAGAGCCAGAGATGGTAGCCCCAGCTGAGGCCGGAGGGGCTCGTTAGAGGAGTTCATACATGTCCCTCTATCCCTGCAAGAGTCAGGGCTTGTGAGAGGTGGCATAAAAGCCACCCACAGGTACAGCACTCCCAGGAGGCAGCCTGGGCTTCAGACAAGGCATCATGCCTTCTCTTTTGTTACTGATGTGAAGAAGATGAGCATAACTAAGCCACAATACCAGCGCTTCTCCAACTTAAATGGGTGTTTGAATCACCTGGGGATTTGGTCAAGTGCAGATTCTGTTTTAGTAGGTCTGGGGTGGGGCCTAAGATTCTGCATTTTTTTAAAGATTTTATTATTTATGTATTTGACAGAGAGGAAGAGCTCAAGTAGGCAGAGGGAGAGGGAGAGGGCGAAGCAGGCTCCCCGCTGAGCAGGGAGCCCAATGCGGGGTTTGATCCCAGGACCCTGCGATCGTGATCTGAGCTGAAAGCAGACACCCAACTGACTGAGCCACCCAGGCACCCCAGATTCTGCATTTCTAACAGGCACCCAGGCAATGCTGTTGCTGTTGGTCTACAGGCTATACTTTGAGTAGCAAAGGACAAGAGGCAGCCCTGGAGGCTCCCCACGAGGGAGGGTGCACATCCGGTTCCAGAGAGAATGCGTTTGTGCACAAAGTTACAGAAGCCATTCAAGTGGAAACAGCCACCGTTTTGTTATGGTTGTGAGGCAGTCCTTTCCCGATGGACTACACCTTCCAGCAGCATGGTGTAGCTGCTTGGCGCTCAGGCTCTGAAGCTTGACCTCCTTAGCTTGACCTCTCAGTAGGTCTGTGATCTTGGGCAAATCTTTTAATGGCTCCGCCTCTCAGTCTCTCTAGTGGAAATAATACTAGTGGGAGGATGGCTGAGTGAATAGATACGAAGTCCTTAGTAAGTGCTCAGTAAATGTTGTTATTCTTGTTGATGATACACCCTTCTATAATAGCTGACATGGTCACACACAGGGGCTCAGTCTCCTGGTTCACGGTCAAAAAGATGACCCCCATCTCCCTCCCACCAAAAGGCCTATATCTTCTCTTTCGAATCCCTCCTCCCCTCCTGCCCACTCCCACTCCCCCTCCCCTGGGCTCTGGCCCCAGTGTGGTCGGAATGGGCCCCAAAGGGGCAGGGACAGGGACAGGACGTGGGGCTGTATCTGACAGGAACCTGAGGGGCTGGCCTGGGAGGGGATTGGGGCCCAGCTTCCTGAGGGGAGGATGGGCTAAGCCAGGCACACAGTGCCAGAGAAGATGCCCTCCTGGGCCCTCTTGGCGGTCACCTCCTGCCTCCTCCTGGCCCCCCAAAATCTGGCACAAGTCACCAACCAAGGTGAGGTGTGTGGAGGGTGGAGATCACCTATTCCCAGGAAGAGGGAGTCCTGGGGGGGTGCAAGGTAGGAGGCTCCCACCAGCCCCTTTACTCTTGCCCATAAACATGCGTGGGTGCACCCTGAGCTCAACTCACCAGCTGTTCCTCAGATGCCTCCTTTCTGGCCTCGGATTCAGAGCCCCTGAACTGTTTCTCTCGAACATTTGAGGACCTCACTTGCTTCTGGGATGAGGAAGAGGCAGCACCCAATGGAACATACCAGCTGCTGTATGCCTACCCAGGGTATGTGCTGGGCTGTGTCATGCTCCTCTGTGTCTGTCCTGTCCTTACCTCAGCTGAGCCCAGCTCCTGTAGCTTCCCTGCCTTTGGCCCTATCAGAGACTATTCCAAGTAGATGCCCTTAGTAACCATTTAATAAACAGAAGTGCTTTGGATGGCCCCAGTGCTGGTCCCTGCATAATCCCTAAGCCCACCTATGCCAGGCACTGAGTTCAAAAATGGCAGTAATGGAAATCAAAGTTGGGCTTGGGCCCATGATGTCACGGTGGCTGTGAAGGTGGAGCAGACTTCTCCTATGCCCACAGGGAGAAGCCGCGTGCCTGCCCCCTGAGTTTCAAGAGCGTGCCCCCCTTTGGAACCCGATACGTGTGTCAGTTTCCAGCCCAGGATGAAGTTCGCCTCTTCTTTCCACTGCACCTCTGGGTGAAGAACGTGTTTCTGAACCAGACTCTGACCCAGCGTGTGCTCTTTGTGGATAGTGTAGGTAAGGGCCATCCTCCTGTCACCCTGGCCCCTCTGTCTGCTGTCCTCAGTCCAGTTCCTAGGATCAGACTGGTCTGTGCTCTTTTAGGGCAATGTGGATGCCCTTCATTACCAGACCACCAGAGGCACCTCGAGACCCCCTTATCATTCTTCACATCCAGAACTAGATTTCATTTCACACCAGAGACAAACCTATGCTCCTATCCCATCATTAACCTATTCGTTGAGTAATTCAACAGTTACAGAATACCTACTCTGTGTCAGGCACTGTGCAGGGTGACAAGGATACAGAGATGAAGAGATCCCTATTCTTGAAAGCACTGAGTCTAACAAAGCCGCAGTGAGGTCACTGTTCTCATGAGGAAAGGAAAACAGGATAAGGAGCCTCCTTGCCCTGGTCTATAAGAGAACAGTGGCCTGTGATCTTCTAGAATCCAGGGGCTGCCCCCAACCCAGCTGCAGCTCCCCTCTCTACAGTCCATGGGTTGAATCATCGGCTATGGCACTCAGAGAGTTCTGGTGTACCCTGTCTTGCCTCCAGGCTTGCCAGCTCCCCCAGATATCATTAAGGCTTCAGGCGGGATCCAGCCAGGGGAACTTCAGATCAGCTGGGAGACCCCAGCTCCTGAAATCAGTGATTTCCTGAGGCATGAACTTCGCTATGGCCCCAAGGATCCCAGGAATTCCATTGGTCCCACAGTCATGCAGCTGCTGCCCACAGAAACCTGCTGTCCAGTTCTGCAGAGACTAAACCTGGTCCCAGCTCTGCACCAGCCTCCATGTGCTCAGCCCATGATGCCCCAACAGGATGGACCAGAGCAGACGTCCCCAACTAGAGAAGTATCCTGGCCTTCTGCCCCACCTCCTATCTCCTACCCTAAAATTTGCCCAGGGGATTCCATACTTTGGGGATTCCAGACTGGGTTGGTCCTTGGAAAGTTAGTATGGGCTTGGGAGTGATGTCTATTTAGGTATCTCCCACTTTGGGTCATTCACACCAACAAAACTGAGTGTTTCAGGCCTAAAAAGTTCTGGACACCACCTGAAACCCACTGACCTGGCCCCTAGTCTGTGTGCATTATCTATCCAGTGAGGAAGTGGCCATCTTTCCACAGGTATGCTGTGGGGCTTCAAATATAAGAGATGGAGGCTGTCTCGGTTGAGGCAGACCTAGATTCTGAGGCTGGGATTCTTCTCCCAAGGCTTCATCTCTAACAGTGAGGAGTGGAAGCTGCCTCATCTCAGGGCTCAAGCCTGGTCAATCCTACTGGCTGCAGCTGCGCAGCCAACCCGATGGGGTCTCCCTCCTTGGTTCCTGGGGTTCCTGGTCCCTCCCTGCAACCGTGGACCTGCCTGGAGATGCAGGTACGTCAACAAAAGAATGGGAAGATGGGGAGGAGATAGAAAAGAACTCTAGAGAGGTCTGGACTGGATATGGAAGCTCTGAGAACCATGGTCCTTCCTAATAACCCCAAACTTGCCACTGGACAGACACAGTGAACTATATTCAGGGAGAGAACAAAGAATGGGGGTAAATATTCCAAGTTACGTATGTAAAGATAGTCTGGCTACCCTACAGAGTGGGAATGTGTTGGCCCTGATGGGACTTTCTTCTGTTAATTCAGTGGAAATTGGACTGCGGTGCTTTACCTTGAATCTGAAGAATGTTACCTGTCAGTGGCAGCAACAGGACCATGCTAGCTCCCAAGGCTTCTTCTTCCACAGCAGGGCACGGTGCTGCCCCAGAGACAGGTGAGAGCTGAAATTATGATTGAGCTTGATGTCATGGGAGAGAGGCATGATCATGCAGAAAGGGAGTGATTGTTCTTGATCCTCTTCACTCCCCTCCCTTGTCCCCAAACCAACTGCCCTCCATGCTCATGTCCTCCAATAGGTATTTTACCTTCTCAACTTCTTTCCATCCCCACTGGGATGCCTTGGTTTAGTCCAGATTTAATCATATCACCTAGACCTAGACTATATCACCTAGACCACTGCAACAACCTACATTCTCATTCACCCGCAATTTATCCCCCATGCTTCTGACAAACACCTTTGATAAAAACTCAAACATTGAATGGTCTTCCCCTACTCAAATATATACTGCACCTCTCCACTATCAAATCCAATCCAAACTTAGCCTTCAAGAATTACCACCAAGCACCTCACTAATCTGTCACTCCTCACATATCCAAGTCTTAGGTTTTGTTGTTTTGGGTTTTTTTTCAAAATTTTATTTAAGTTCTAGATAGTTAACATATAGTATAATATTGGTTTCAGGAGTAGAATTTAGTGATTCATCACTTACATATAACATCAAGTGCTCATCATAACAAGTGCCCTCCTTAATCCCCATCACCCATCTAGCCCATCCTCTGCCCAGCTCCCTCTATCAACCCTCAGTTTGTTCTCTATCATTAAGAGTCTCTTATGGTTTGCTTCCCTCTCTTTTTTTCCTTCCCATATGTTCATCTGTTTTGTTTCTTAAATTCCACATATGAGTGAAGTTATATGGTATTTGTCTTTGACTTATTTTGCTTAGCATAATACACTGTAGCTCCATCCACTCATTGCAAATGGCAAGATTTCATTATTTTGATGGCTGAGTAATATTATATATATATATATATATATATATATATATATATATATATAAAACATATATACACACACAGCATGTGTTCTTTATCCATTCATCGGTCAATGGACATTTGGGCTCTTTCCATAGTTTGGCTATTGTTGATAGTGCTGCTTCTGTAAATATTGGGGTGCATATACTCCTTCAAATCTGTATTTTTGCATCCTTTGGGTAAATACCTAGTAATGCAACTGCTGGGTTGTAGGATACTTCTATTTCTAACTTTTTCAGGAAACTCCATACTCTTTTTCAGAGTGGCTGCACCAGTTTCCACTCCCACCAACAGTGTAAGAGAGTTTCCCTTTCTCTGCATCCTCGCCAACACCTGTTGTTTTTTGTGTTATTAATTCTGACAGGTATAAGGTGATATTTATTGTGGTTTTGACTTGCATTTCCCTGATGAGTGATGTTGAACATCTTTTCATGTGCCTGTTAGCCATCTGTATGTCTTTGGAGAAGTGTCTGTTCATGTCTTCTTCCCATTTCTTGACTGGCTTATTTGTTTTTTGGGTGTTGAGTTTGATAAGTTCTTTGTAGATTTTGGATACTAGCCCTTTATCTGATAAGACATAAGTAAATATCTTCTCCCATTCTGAAGACTGCCTTTTAGTTTTGTTGACTGTTTCCTTTGCTGTGCAGTTTTTATCTTGATGAAATCCCAATAGTTCATTTTTGCTTTTGTTTCCCTTGCCTCTGACAATGAGTCTAGTAAGAAGTTGCTGCAGCCGAGGTCAAAGAGGTTGGTGCCTGTGTTCTCTTCTAGGATTTTGATGGTTTCCTGCCTCACTTTTAGGTCTCTCAAGCATTTTGAATTTATTTCTGTGTATGGTGTAAGAAAGTTACGGAGTCTTATTGATTTTACCTATTAAATATCTCTAGAATCTGTCCACTTCTGTTCATCACTGCCATTCCCCTAGTACGAGCCATCATGGTGTCTCACTTGGGCTACTGAGGAGACTTATTATAAGATCACCTCTTAAATCCTCCAAATCATTCTCCACATAGGAGCCAGAGTAGTGATTTTTAAAAGTGCAAAAATGAACATAACACTCTCTGCTCAAAAATCTGCAATAGTGGGGCGCCTGGATGGCTCAGTGGGTTAAAGCCTCTGCCTTCGGCTCAGATCATGATCCCAGGGTCCTGGGATCGAGCCCCACATCGGGCTAGCTGCTCAGCAGAGAGCCTGCTTCCCCCCTTTCTCTCTGCCTGCCTCTCTGCATACTTGTGATCTCTGCCTGTCAAATAAATAAATAAAATCTTTTTAAAAAATCTGCAATAGCTTCTTATGGCTCTTAGGATTAAAAGAAGAAGAAGAAGAACCCTATTGTGACATTATAGAGTACTAACAGACTCAGCCCCTGAATACCTTCAGCTTCATCTTACACTATGCTGCCTTTTCCTCTCTATGACTCTTTGGTCCTCTTCTATCTGCCATATTATCTCCTGCTTCTGGGTCTTTGTGCATGCTGTCCACCCAGCCCTCCTTCAGATCTCAACTCAAATGTCACCTTCTCAGGGAACCCTCCCTGATCTTCCTCATCAGGTCCAATAGCACTATTACACATACTTATTGTACCATTTACCTCTCTTTCATAAGTACTTATCATAATTACAATTTTACATTTATATTTTATGTGGTTATTTCATTGATACCATTCTGTCTCAGAACTCCAGCTGATCTTGAACATACATGATCCCTAACAGCAAAGTCAATACCTGCTTTTACTCACTAATGTATTCTTACCTACCACAGTGCCTGGAATTTAGCAGTTAGTCAATTAAAAAAAAAAAAAGCTAAATTAATGAATAATGAAAAAACACCATTAACAGTTTTAATGTGCTCTTCCAGTTTTTCTATGTACTTACTCATGTCTATACACAACATTTCATTTTCAGTATGAATTGGAACACATTATATATATAATTGCCAACTTATTTTTTTTTTTACTTAAAAATGTGTCTTGGAGCCCATCATAAAAAGGCGTAACTGATTCCTTTTAAAAACTGCACAGGTTTCCATAGTCTAGAGGTGCCATGAATGGATTAAAGGGGAACAAAACTGACATCATCATTTCTTCTACTAAAACCTGCTCTTCCTCCTATTGTCCTCCATCCTACCATCAGCTCAATTTTCCAGGCCTGACATAGTGATTTCCATGGGCTTCTGCCTTTTCCACACACTCTAGGTCTAATCAGAAACAGTCTTATCATCTCTACCTCTTCAGTATCCCTTGCATCCCTTTTCTCCACCTCCATTGTCACCACCCCGTTTCTGGGCCTTCATCCATAAAAGTGTCCTATTGGATCTCCCTGCGTCTTGTCTGTCCTCACAAATTCTTTCCCACAAATTGCAGTTACAGTGATCTTCCCAAAGTACAATGCTAATTATGACAAGTTTCTGTTTAAAATCCCTAAATGTTTCCGTGATTACTACAAGATTAAGTTCAAGCTCCTCAGAAAGGCCATAAAATCATACATGATCTTAGTCTGCCCTCTCCCATTTACCACTCACCACCAGGCCCTCTAAGCTAAGGGCATTCTGTTCCACTTAGAATTTCCCCCAAAGCACCCTATCTCTTATCTATGCACAAGCATGTGCCTGGGTTGCCTGTCGGTCCCCTTTGCCTATCCTATTTATAGTCCAAGACCCGGTCTAAGCACTGCCTTGTCCAGGAAGTATTCTCTGACCCTCCCCATCTGGGTTAATTATCCTCCTTGATACCCACCCCTCCCCAAAGGAGCCCGAACACACCACAGAAAATACCATCTGTCTGTTTTTCTGCCCCTTCCACTGGAATGAGAGCTCCTTGATTATTCTTCTATGTATTCATGCTGCCTAGCACAGTGTCTGCCACATAGTATCAATTATTTGTTGAATAAAGAAGTAAATACATAAATACATTAATAAATAATTTTTTGTAAGAGCTAGCCATTTAGGAATTATAATCAGGAAGGAGACATGATTCATCTGTTCAATAAACAATCATTGAGGGTGACTATGTGCCAGGCATTGGGGCTGGAGTGACAGATAAAAAAGTTTCCACATTGTTGGGGCTTCCATTTTAGTTGAGGGGGAAAAGAGGGGTGACAAAGAAGTAAGGTAACCGCGGAACAGGTTATATGATAGAGATTAAGTGGGGTGGGTGGTAGTCTAGACTCTGTGGTCAGAGAACACCAGGAGCCCTAAATGGCAAAAAAAAGAATGAGTCACATGGAGATCTAGAGTCAGAGCAATCAAGGGCAAGGTGTAGCGCAAAGGCAGTGCATGGGGCATATTTACAGCACAGCAAGATGGCCCATGTGGGTGAGAAGCGGCAAGCTGGAGTAAGAATTGTAGGAGAGAGAATGGCCAGGTAGGGAAGAAGTAAACTATATCGGGCCCTGCATGGAGCTTAGATTTCATTCAAGGGGGGACGGGGAGCCACTGAAGGATCTCAGGCAAAAGAGTGATGTGATGTGACTTTTCTTGCAAAAAGGTGTATTTCTCTGTGAAATGATGAAGAAGGAAAGGTGGCAGAGTCACCAGTTAGAAACTGGCCTTTCTCCAGGCTGGAGACAGAGGTAGCTCATGGAATGTGACCATGGGAAAAATTCAAACAAATGGACAGATTTGTGATCTCTTCTGGACATTATCAGATTAAAATTTTGGAAGCAAATTCTGGTGGCCATGTGGAGAACAAACTCCACAAGGGAGTGGTGGAAATGAAGGCAGAAAAGCCAGTTGGGAGGCTGTTGTAATCATCTAATAGTAGAATAACCCAGAGAGGTGACTAACAGGTCTGCTGTATGAGATTAAAAATGTGAGGACCTGGGGCACCTGGGTGGCTCGGTGGGTTAAGCCTCTGCCTTTGGCCCAGGTCATGATCCCAGGGTCCTGGGATCGAGCCCCGCGTCTGGCTCTCTGTTCAGCAGGGAGCCTGCTTCCCTTCCTCTCTCTCTGCCTGCCTCTCTGCCTACTTGTGATTTCTGTCTGTCAAATAAATAAATAAAATCTAAAAAAAAAAAATGTGAGGACCTTTGCACCAGAAAGATGAAGGCTCTTTGAAACAATCCTGTGAAGTAAGGATTTTTAACCCATTTTTACAGATGAAGAAGTGGGAGCAGAGATTAATCATGTACCAGAGTTGTCGACCAAGCCAAGACCTGAGCTCTAGAGCCCAGGCTGTGTCCATGAATCATCTAGCTCTTTCCTCAAGAGAAAGAGGCTGGACACCAAAGTCAGCTTCAGAAAACAAAGCATCGTGGCAGGAAGACAGAGAGAAAGCCTTGGAAGCCCATCCATGGGAGGAGTTAGATTATAATCCCTACAGGTCATATCCCTTGTGGGATGGGAATTATCAGGATTAGGCTCAATTGAGTGACTCTGTGGGCATGATTCTTAGGGACCCCATCTGGGAGAAGTGTGAAGAGGAGAAGAATCCAGGATTACAGCCCTCCCAGTTCTCCCGCTGCCACTTCAAGTCACGAAACGACAGCGTTATTCACATCCTTGTGGAGGTGACCACAGCCCAGGGTGCTGTTCACAGCTACCTGGGCTCCCCTTTCTGGATCCACCAGGCTGGTAAGAACTTCCTTCCCTTCTCCTCCCACGTACTTCCTGCCCCTACTGGCACTGACCCCACGCCCAGGATCACCGGGTCTGGCACTTTTGACCCATGGCCCTAGTGGCATGATGTCACACGCACAGAAGAGCTTAGGCCAGTCCCTGCTGGCATCCCTGTAGTGCTCATCCCCACTCCAAACTTGCACTGGAGGGAGGTCTCCAGTGGGCAGCTGGAAGTGGAATGGCAACACCCATCATCCTGGGGATCCCAAGAGACCTGCTATCAGCTCCGCTACACAGGAGAAGGCCATCAAGACTGGAAGGTACGATCGAGGAAAAAATGCCCACAGACTTCACTACACAGAGTACCCCTGAGATTCATCCGGTCTGTTATCAAGAGTGAAGGTATCCATGTATCTGTGTCTGGGTTTCTATATCTGTGTTGATTTGACTCAACTGGCATCTTAATCTTTCTTTGGCATTTGACACTGCTGACTATTCCCATTTAAAATTTTCTCTTTCTTTTGCCTTTGGGTTATCAATCTCCCAATTCTTATACTACTTGTCTGGCTGAACCTTCTCCCTTTTCCCTGGATCCTCTTTTTCCACCCTTCCTTAATCTGTTGTTCTTCCTATAGTCCCATGCTAGACTCCCTTCTCTTCTCGATAAATATACATGCTCATCCTAGGTAAGTACTTAGAGTTTTGATGACTATGCATTTACCAGCCCAAACTTACCATTCCAACACCCAGATGGAAAGAAACTTCTATGCCCTAGGTAAATTACCTAAACTTTGGAAGTCTCCATTTTGTCAAATGGAGATACAACTATCTTCCAGAGTTGTGACAAAAATTAAGTATATAAATATCTAGCATGCTGCTGGCAGATAGAAGGTACTCAATATACAATCGTTAAATGTTACTTTCTCTACTTTATTCTTGTTAACCACGTGTATATACAACTTCTTACCAGACAGTGTGCATAAAAGCCCTTGGGGGCATTTCAGACCCAATATATCCAAAATTAAACTAAACTCATCTTCCTCCCCAAGTTTATTTTACCTTTTCATTGGGGTATGTTCCATTCAAGAAAATACATAGATCTTAAATATACAATTGATCAATTTGTACATGTATACACCCATTTAACCACTACCCAGATCAAGATATAGGTTATTTCTACACCTCAGAAGTTCCTCATGCCCCTTACAGCCACGCATACCCCAAGGTAAGCACTGTTCTGACGACACCATTGATAAGTTCTGACTGTTGTTGAACCTAATAAAGTGAAACCATACAGTATTTCATCCTCAAAACTTCTCTGTTCTCTGGCAGTGGTTCTACCACTTACCAGTTATCCAAACCTGCAATCACCCTTAACTCTTCTTCCTTTTCCCTTGTCCCTTCCCTCCATTCACCAACACTGAAGTTTGGTTTACTGTACTAGCAGTCCTCAAATCCCTACTACCACTGCCTTAGCTCATCGTTGACCGCCCCTCCTGCCCATCCATGCCTTTAGCACACTGAACTACTCTCTAACCCCCAACCAAGCAGCCCAGGCAGCATGCCATTCTTCCTCCTGCTCCTATCCTGCCTTACTTAAATCATCATTATAGCACTAATGACTTGTAATTATTTACTGGTTTGCATGCGGTCCTCCTTGGACTTGCGAGGAACCGTGTTTCATCTATCCTTTTCCCCAGTGCTTGGCATATCACCAGCACGTCGTAAATGTTTGCTACCTGATGGCTAGTCTCCCTGCTTGTCCACACGATGCTTGTTCCCTCTACTTGGAATCTGTCCTTGCCCCTCAGCACCTAGCATCCGCAGCTGGATGCATGTTACTTGTGAACAGTCCGTTTGGCCCTGAGTATCTGAATGTGCCTGGGGTTTCCGTCGCCTGACCTGGATCGTGGGGAGCACTTCTGGCGGGATGTCCGCGTGCCCCGGTCAGTGTGCGAATGCATTTGTGTCCGGATGAGTGGTCAGTTCTCTGTGCAGATGAGGTCTGCGTGCCAGCGTGTGTGCGTGCGTGTGTGTGTGTGTCTAGGGGCGCGTTTCTCTAAGGTCAGCATGCCTGTCAGGCTCTATCTTGCCAGTTTTCGCTGGGATGCATGTATTTATTCTGTCGGGGCGGCTCTCTGGGAGGGATCCCCGGAGATTCAGAGCGGTAGGCCTTTGGCCAAAAGGATGCCAGGCTGTAGAGGCCCTGACGCCGGCGCCGCGCCGCGGGGAGCCTTCCCACCGGCTCGCTCCCCCTCTGCGCAGGTGCTGGAGCCGCCTCTCGGGGCCCAGCGGGAGACCTTGGAGCTGCGCCCGCGCTCTCGCTACCGCCTACAGCTGCGCGCCAGGCTCCACGGCCCCACCTACCAAGGGCCCTGGAGCGCCTGGTCAGAGCCGGTACGAGCAGAGACCACCTCCGACTCGGGTGAGCGCCCGGCGGGGAGCACGGCGCTCTGCGGCTGCGCGAGTGGAGGGGCGCCGGCGCCGGGGGGCGGGGTCTGGCGGGCCTGGGGGCGGGGCTCCGGCCAGGGGTTGCAGAACTCTGACTGGTTTTGTCCCTTAGCTTGGATCTCGTTGGTCGCCGCTCTGCTCGTGGTGCTGGGCCTCAGCGCCCTCCTGGGCCTGCTGCTGCTAAGGTGGCAGTTCCCTGCGCGCTACAGGTACCGCCCCGGTCACTCAGGAGACGGGTGGGGCCGGAGGCCTCTAAGCAAGCTTCCCAGGGAGGACCAAGGACCGCATGTCCACACCTGTGGCTTCAGCCACTTCCTGCACGTCTCCCCTGGGAGTCGCACCGCTTCCTTACACGCTAACATGCCCGCTCTACCGGACCCCTCAAACAACCCCACCTCCTGGCTCCTCATCTCAGTAACAGGGCTGCTGTCCACCCATCATCCAAACCCGGACTCTAGGCACCTCCCTTCCCTTTTACGCAGGCCTGCCTCGTCTGCTCATTCCACCTCCAAAATGTCGCTTGAACAATGGTCCCCTTTTTTGGCCCTACAAACACTACCCGGCTCGCTGAAATAGAGCCGCTTCACCCTCCAATCTGGCCTCACACAGCCACCCAAATCATCTTCCTAAAAAGCACAAATGAACTTGTCACTCCCCTCCTTAAGTCTCATTACTAGCTCCGAGGATAGAGTCCAGACCCTGGAATGACAGGCAAGGCTCTGTAAAATCTGGCCCCTGCCGGCCTTTCCACCCCTTCCCACCGTGTGCATCAGCCTTGCCAAACTGTTTGTGATTCCTCCATAAGCCCCCTGGTTTTACTTCTCAGTGTCATTGCATACGATGTTCCCTTTGCTGGGGATATGTTCCCTCCATGACTTCTATCCCTTTATCTTTAAATAACCTTCTCCACCAACTCCTAGAAACCTTTCCTAAACTCTCCCCTATTGGCTACTCTCTTTGTGCTCCAGTACAGACTTCTATCACAGTTACCAGTAGCATTTCATGGTATTTATTTCTTTTTTAAAAAGAGATTTTATTTATTTATTTGACAGAGAAAGAGAGATCACAAGCAGGCAGAGAGGCAGGCAGAGGGGAGGGGGAAGCAGTCTCCCTGCTGAGCAGAGAGCCTGATATCAGGACCCTGAGATCATGACCTGAGCTGAAGACAGAGGCTTAACCCACTGAGCCACCCAGGCGCCCCAGTATTTATATCTTTATATGTCTTCCCTATACCTTACGTGATCATCTTTAAATCCTCGGCACTCAGCACAGTGCTTGCCAAATAGCACACCCTTAAAAAAATGTTATTAATGACTTGTTTATGTGGGAAGACTAAGGCTGAAGAGAAATGTCATTGGAAGTTATAAACATGAGAATAGAAAAGTAAAACAAAACAAACACACACAAGGATACAATCCATACCACCTCAGTCCTTCAGTTGGTAACATCTCTTGGTTCTTAAAGACTCATCTCAGAAGGCAACTCTTCCAGGCAGCCTCCCTTGGTGACCCTAGACTAGGTTAGATGTCCCTCATTTCTGCTCCCATCTCTCCTTGAACATGTCTTTCTTTTAATTTTTAATTCACTCCTCTGTGTGAGCAGACCACATTATAGCCTCTGTGCAGGTAGTCAGAGCCAAAAAAAAAAGTTGGGGTAGAAGAGGAAGATGATGAACCAGGTGAACTCAGTTCCTTGTCCCCAATTTGCCAGATAAATCACTCCTCCCCTGGAGAGATATGAGTGAGGTCACAGAAGAATCCTGAAATGTTGTTCAACTGAAGTCTTTCCATGTGGAAATATGAGCCTAAAGAATTGCAGGGTCCCCCAATTTACCTTAATCTATACTCTTCCCAGAGAGACCACCTTCCCCAGTAACTTAGTAATAAGCCCCTCTGGTTCTCTTCATTTACCCACTCAACTAATTTCTTGAGGACCTACTATGAGCCAGACAGTATTCTATCCCCCAGAGATAGAGGACTGAGCAAACAAAGTCTTCGTTCTCATGGAGTTGATATTCTAGTGGATCGATACAAACACAAACCTGTGGGATAATATAATGTGTATACAATAAGTCAAGAGCTATAAAGAAAAATAAAGCAGAGCAGGAAACGGACTGGGAAAGGAGGTGGTAATATTTTAGACATGGTGGTCAGGGAAGACTTCTCTCTTGGGATGACATTTGAGTAGAGACCTAAATGAAATGAGGGAACGAATCAAGAGGTGCAGAAAATAGCAAGCACAAAGACCCTGAAGCAGGGATATTTGAGGACACTCAAACCACTTTTTGAACCCCTCACCTCTGACTCCCCTTTCCCACCTTTTCACCTATGCCCCCCTACCTTATCTTACTGCCTTGACTACAGTCTTACTTCTCCAAGCCTTATTACCTAACCTCAGGCTCAACCCTTCATCACCTCAGTGGTTTCCTCCTCCCTTCCAATTCACTCCTGTGACTCAGTCTCCTCTTCCTTCTCCCCAAGGAGCCTGAAGCATGCCCTGTGGCCCTCCCTTCCAGACCTGCACCGGGTCTTAGGCCAGTACCTTAGGGATACTGCAGCGCTGAGTCCGGTGAGTGAATTCCCTTCTCCAGTCTCCAGTATCAGCCCTGCCTGGAGTTGGATCCTTGCCCCACTGCACACTTTTCCAAGGCCCTTGCCCACCAGCCTACCATCCCTGGGCCCTATGCCCAGCTAACCCTCCTTCCTGTATAGTCCAGGTCCCCCTCCCCACTGCACCTGCTCTAATCCAGAATCCTTTTCCCTCATTTCTCCCAGCCCAAGGCTGCAGTCTCGGATGCTTTTGAGGAGGTGGAACCCAGCCCCCTTGAAATTCTACCCAAGTCCTCAGAGAAGATCTCCATGGCCCTGTGTTCCTCCCAGGCCCAGATGGACTACCGAGGATTGCCCCCTTCTTGCCTGGGGACCATGCCCCTGTGTGTGTGCCCACCCATGGCTGAGTCGGGGTCCTACTGCACCACCCACATCGCCAACCATTCCTACTTACCTCTGAGCTGCTGGCAGGGCCCTCTCTCCCCGTACCCTGGACAGATCCAAACTGGCCAGACCTCTTTTCCCAACCTCCCTACCCACCCCATCCCCTCAACACAAACATCTCAGACCTCACGTCCATCCCCCTCTGTCTGTCCTCATAGTTGGGCTCCCTGACACTGACAATATTTGGTACTGCTGCAGACATAAAGCCAAGACTCTCCCTCCTCATGCCAGGTTCACTTGACTAAGCTCCTCTAACTCACCTGCTTTTTCTCTCCTCCCTAATGCTCCACTCCTTGAAAAGACATCTCCACATCCCCACTTCCCATTTGATCTTCAGACGGCTTCAGTTCATTCCCTGTTTTGCTAAGGAAACAACTCGGGCAGGGTTCACGTCAAATATTGTGATTGCAAGATCTGGTAGGATCTTGTCAATCCTCAATTTATTTGATCTCTCTGTGGCATCTGTCATCGTGACTACTCATTCCTCCTTTAAATTCTCTCCTACCTTGGCTTCTATAGTATCACCCTCTCTCCTGGCTCTGAGTATACGAGTAGTTAAAAGCATAAACTCTGGAGTCAGAGCTGGGTTCAATTCCTCTCTTACCCACTTGCTAGCTGTGTGACCTTGGGCATATAACTTAAAGTCTTTGCACCCTGATTTTCTCATCTATAAAACAGGGATAATGCCAGAAGCTCACAGAGTTGTGAAGAGGATAAGTGAGCTAGTCTAAGTGCCTAGGACGTAGTATGTTTATATCTGAAATGCTGTAATTATTCCTTCCTGTTCTCTTATCCTGGCATCTCTCCCACCCCTTAATTACTGTAGTTCCTCAAGAGTCCACTGCCTTTCCTGTAAGCTGACCACCGCAAAGTTCTTATCTCCAGCCCTGACTTCTGTCATCCCTGTGCTTCTTTATGCAAATAACCGTTTACTTGTCTGGCTCCTACTACTAGGCTGTGAGCTCCTTGAGGGCCAGGGCTGTGATTTAGTTGTCTTTCCCCACCACCAAGATCAGTGCTTGGTGCATGATAGTAGGCTTTCAATAAATGTTTTCTAAATGAAGGAAATTTTTCTGGATAGTGCTACCTTCACCCCATGCCAAGCACCCTCATTCCTCTAGGCCGTTCGTTTGCAGCAGTAAATGTGTTTAGGCTGGGGGAAACTGGATGGCTCCGTCAGTTAAGTGTCTGTCTTCCACTCAGGTCCTGATATCAGAGTTCTGGGATCAAGCCCCGCACTGAGCCCCATATTGGGCTCCCTGCTTGGTGGGGGGTCTATTTCTCTTTCTCCCTTTGCCTTCCCTCCTTGTGCATGCATACACACACACACACACACACACACTCTCTCTCAGATAAATAAATAAAATCTTTAAAAAAGAATGTGCTTAGGCCATTCTGGTTATGGATTCCCCTTACTCATTCAAATTCGCAAAAATATGGTATTTTTTTGTTTGCTCCACACATACCCACTGTATTAATCAGGGTCTTGGCAGAAATAGATGGCACACTCAAATTGGGCATCTTGATGAGAGTTAAATAAAGGGCATATTTGTAAAGATAAGGTTTTAGGAAAACCCTCAAGAAAGAGTGCAGTACCCCAGGGCTAACCAGAGCTGGGAGTTGGTACCACCCCTAGACATCCAGGGGTAAGGGGCAATTGTGGTTACTAGATCTAGAGAGTCACTCTAAGAGAAGGTTGCCTGACTGGAGTGGTGACCTTTGATAGAGAGCCAAACTGTGAGGACATGGTAGCGAGGGATTCAGGGGAATACATAGCTTAGACCCCCTCTCCCTCCGCCCTCTGTTCTCCTCTGTATTAGTTTGCTAGCACTGCCCTAACAAAGGACCACAAAGCTGGTGGCTTAAACAACAGAGATGTACCATCTCATAGTTCTAGAGGCTAGAAGTTCAAGGTGTCATTAGGGTTGGTTCCTTCTGAGAGCTGTGAGGAACAATCTGTTCATGCTTCTCCACTAGCTTCTAGCGGTTCCCTGGAAATCTTGGTATTCCTTGGCTTGTAGATGTATCACCCTCATCTCTGTCTTTATCTTCACATGGCATTTTCCTTGTGTGTCTGTGTTCAAGCTTCTCCATTTTATAAAGACACCAGTTTCACTAGATTGAATGACCTAAATGACCTCAACCAAATGACCTCATCTTCACTAATTACATCTGCCATGATCTTATTTTCCAAATAAGGTTCCGCTGTGGAGTACTGGAGCTTAGGAATTCAACATATGAATTTGAGGGGGGGGAAATGTAATCCATAGTATCCTTCCATTGGTGGAATCCAAACAGAAACCAAAGCCCAAGGGAATCCATTGATATAAGCCCTATACCTCAGCCTCACAAGGCACAGGCCGTGGGAGAGATGGATGTAAGAGTAGGTCTGAGTGGGACAGATGGAGGATATCCAATATACTCATTTTCCATATTTCCTTCCCCTAGCCATGGTCAAGGCTCCGACTGCAGTGCTAGGGACTCAAGACGAGGACTGAGATCCAAACCACTGAACTTCTCATCTTGTCACTCACTCGGCCATCATGTCCTGACCACTTTTGCTTCCTAGGGTCCATCTCCTCTGTCTCCACTGAACTATTGCTACAGCCTTCTAACTAATATCTTTGCCTCTAGTATTTCTCTTTAAACCCAACCTGTATGCTGCTTCCAGATTGATCTTCCTATTCATCCCACTCCATACCCCTGAATCTCCAGCTTCACTCCACAGCAGCTGATCTCTTCTTCATCTAGTCTTTTCCTATGTTAGGATTAAAAGTATCAAAATAATACCAAGCACATAGTCAATACTTAATGTTTATTGAGCTATTTTTATTATCATCCCAACTGTGCTGGTCTACCATCTAGATGTCACCTATATTTTATTCCTTCCATGCCCTTTGCTTTCCTAGACTCAAGTCCTTTATGTGGGAGTTCTTCCATCTAACCAGTTCCTTGGCTTCTAATTACACATCTCTAAAGCCTTGTTCTCCTTCCCTCAGTGTAAAAGGAAGTGATCTTTCTTTCCTAGACCGGAAAGCTCCCTGTGTTTTCTATCCCATTTCTTCCTGGGTAAGGTAACCCAGGCACCTTGTTCTATCAGCTGGCCTTTGCTCACCTTCGTTCATTTCCCTTGGCTCTTTTGCCTTCACCTTCAAACATGCATCAGCCTCTTGGTACTGGTTCCCTTAGGTTCCCATGCACTGCCCCTTTCTCAATGCCAAATTTCTCATGCAAGTATCCCATGCTTGCTGCCTCTACACTCTCCCCATCCCCAGCCTTTTTTCTGCAGCCCCTTCCCCCAAGCACACACTTTTCTGATCCAGCTCTCTAAGGTCACTGATGATTTGTCAGTGGCCAAATCTGACCTTTTCTGTCATCAGTCTTCTTGACCATTTTGCGTATCTTAGAATTCTTCCCTCTTCAAGGTCCTTGTCAGGATAATCTCCACTGGCTTCTTTCATTCCTTTATTTTAAAATGTATGAATTCCCTGAGGTCATCCCCTTATTTATAATCCTATCCTTCTTTTCCTCTAGTTACCCTTACTCCAGAAACTTATTGGCCACATCCTACGTTCAGGCATGTTTTGCTTGGCTCCTCTCTACGCAGAAACTCACCGATTCCACAATGCCTAGCAGATAAAGTCCAAACTCCTTAGCTTAACATTTAAGGCCCTGACCAGCCTTACTCTAAAAAGCCTCTTCTGTGTTCTCTGAGGTTCAGGGTCCCCCTGTTGCCAACCCTAGGTCATCCAGGTAATTGGAAATAAAAAAGTAATAATACTTCAAAATCAAAAATAATAACAATAATAAGTTTGGGCTAAAAACCCTAGATTTTTCTCTGTCATCATCAGAATTGATCTAAGGTAGTGAATGAAAACGTGATTTTTCCGGTCTCTCTCTGGGACAGCATAGCATATGGTTAGGCATGCAGGAGTAAGCCAGATAGTTTGACTCCGCTTTTTATTTTTGGCTGTATGCCTTTGGGCAAGTTTCTAACCTTTTTCTGACCCAGTTTCTTTTTCTATAAAAAGGGAAAGGAATATCTGCCTTATGGGACTAAGGATTAAAGTCAATAATGTGTGTAAATGTTTAAACACAGTAGTTAATAGATGGCCAATAAATGGTACCCATTATTATCTTTATTATTGCTGTTTCACCTCTAAGCATATTCATACAACTCATTCAAGTCCTTATTAGAGCACTGGATTGACTGGGAATCAGACCTGGCTTCCCACCAACTGTGGTCTCAGGCAAGTCCCTTCCCTGGGCCTTGGCTTTTTCATCTGTAAAATATGGGTGTGGTGTCAGGATGGGGAGGATGCACCACGTACAGATTAGACTAGTGGATCTACAAAATTCCTGACACCTCTAAAGGCCCATGGAGATAAGTCCACTGTCTCTCCGAAGGCAATGCAGTCTTAGCTCCAGATAGGCAGGTCTGAGTCCTGAACTTTTTTTCTTGACCTTAAGAAATTCATCCCTTTTCCAGCCTCTTTTTCCCTGTTTGTAAAACAACATTTTCCCTCTTTCCAAAAACAAACACGCTTGCTACTTCCTTTCTAACAGTGCTCCTACAGGCACTGAGCTAACTAGCTCTGGCCTTCTTCCTGCTCCTAAGCTTCTCAGCTCCTTCCCCACCCCTGCCCTCCTGCTGCCTTCCCCTTCTTTGAATGGCTCAAGTGCATTTGGTCACTCCACTGAGATCTGCACTTCTATATCATCGATACAATCCACATGCAATTTTTTAATATTTATTTTTGAAGTATAGTTGACATACAGTGTTACAATAGTTTCAGGTATACAACACCAAGATTTGACAATTCTATGTATTACTCAGTGCTCACCATGATAAATATGATCACCCTCTGTCATCATACATTATTCAATATTATTGACTGTATTCCCTATGCTGTGCTTTTCATCTCTGTGACTTATTTTATTTAATTTTTTAAAAGATTTTATTTGAGAGAGAGCACGAGCACAAGTGGGGGGTGGGGAGCGGTGGCAGAGACAGAGGGAAAGGGAAAAGTAGACTCCCCACTGAGCAGGGAGCCAGACCTGAGGCTCAATCCCAGGACCCTGAGATCATGACCCAAGCTAAAGGAAGACACTTAATCAACTGAGTCACCCGCCACACTCTGTGACTGTTTTATAACTAGAATTTTGTACGTCTTAATCCCCTTCACCTATCTTACCCATCATCCCACCCACCTCGTCTCTGGAAATCATCAGTTTGTTCTCTGCATTATCTTTTCTGGGTTTGCTTTTTTTTAACTCGTGTGTGTGTGTGTGTGTGTGTGTGTGTGTGTGTTTATTCCACTGTAAGTGAATTACATGGTATTTTTCTTTCTTTGACAATTTCACTTAGCATAATGCCTTCTAGGTCCATCCATGTTGTGCAAATGGCAAGCTCTCATTCTTTTTTATGGCTGAGTAATATTCCACTGCATATGGGTTTATATGTATCTTTTTTTTTTTTTTTTTTTTAGTTTTTATTTTAATTCCGTTAGTGAACATACAGTGTTATATTGGCTTCAGGGGTACAAAAAAAGTGATTCAACAATTCCGCAGGTCACAACAAATGCACTCCTGTCGCACATCACATGCAGTTTTACGCGTGAAGGCCTAATGAGGGGAAGCTGAGAAGTGAATGGAAGAGGGTGGGGAATGCGGCTGCAGCGCAGGTCCCGCCCCCAGGCGCGCCCCGCCCCTCTCCGCCCCGCCCCTCTCGCTTTCAGACACCGGTTCCCCGGGGAACCTGCCCTTACCCGCTCACTCTTCAAATCACGCTCCATGGCTGGATTCTCGTGAGATCTGTGACTTGCACCGGAAGACCCGCCTCCTATGCCGTAAAAGGCCAATGGGCGAAAGCGACGGTTGCGACGGTTGGGTTTTGAAGGAGCCAATGAGTGCTCGGAGCGGAGAGTTTAAGAAGTGTAAGTCGGCACTGCTGAAGCCGGTCCGGGATTGGAACCTGCTGCCGGCTGAAGGTGAGAGGCGGCCGGGGGGCCTGGGTCGGGTGGGGCTGCGGCCGGGGTGCCCCTGAACGAGTGGCCAGCCGTCCCAGATCGAGCACGGTCACCTTTTCCTCCAGGACTCGGCGGG